ATGACTATTATGATGATGAGTATTATTATTAATAACATCATTATTAATATTAGTCTTATTAGTACTATTATTATGTGTTTCTTATTATTCTTCTTATTATTACTGTTAGTTGTATTCTTCCTACTTATATTATTATTAGCATTATTATAATTATTCTTATTCTTAGTACTATTCTTATTGGTATTAGTATTGTGATTATTATTATTATTACTATTAGTAGTCTTCTTATCATTCAAAATATTCTTATTCGTATTCTTAGTATTATTCGTATTATTTCTCTTATTATTAATATTCTTCTTCATAGTATTATTCTTATTATTCGTTTTACTATGTTCTTCTCATTACTATTACTCTTATTATTATTATTGGTATGCTTCTTTGATTATTAGTAGTACTAGTACTATTGGTATTATTAAGATTCGTTTTCTTCTTATTATTGTTTCTCCTCCTCCTCCTCCTCCTCCTTCTCCTCCTCCTCCTCATACGCGTATTTCTCCCCATCGTTCCTCCCTCCTCCCCCGCCCCCACCTTCTCCTCCTCGTCATCCTTCTCCTCCTCCTTTTCCTCCTCCTGTTCCTCGTCCTCCTCCTCGTTCTCCTCCTTTTCCTCTTCCTTCCGTCCCTCATCCCCCTCGTCCTTCTTCCCTACCCTTCCTCCTCATTCGACAGGTCCGCGCAAGCGCATATGGTTCGCTCCAGGATGCTTGGAAAGAGTTTGGAAGGAGTCAGGACCATGCGGGTGCAACATTTATGTTGTTTCGCGGTGTCGCAGTCCCAAACATGGCGTTGTGGCGCGGTTCCATACCATCAGGACGCAACAATCAGGTTGATCCGTGGCGTGGAAGCCCCGAAAACAACTATCCCGGCGAAGGACCGAACCATATACACTTGTGGGCACCGCACTTGTGAAAATCTTCCTCGGTGAAGATCCCTACGGGGCCACGAAGTGTTGCACTGGTTGGGGGGAGCGCACGCGGGCGGTAGCACTGGGGCCGTCGGTGAAGCTCCTTATGGGGCCACAAAACGCTGTACTGGGTGGGAAAAATGCCAAATTGATTGCGTGTGGGGCGCATGCGAACGGTCCCACTGGGGGGTTCGGTGGAGCTGGGCCACGAAGCACTGCATTGGGTGGGGGGAACGCATGCCGGCAGTGGGGCCGTCGGTGGAGCTCCCCATGGGGCCACGAAACGCCGCAGTGGGTGGGTGGAAATGCCAGATTGGTGCGTGGGACGCATGTAGGCGGGCCCACTGGGGGGTTCGGTGGAGCTCCCCCTGGGGCCACGAAGCGATGCACTGGGCGGGGGGGGAACGCATGCCGGCAGTGGGGCCGTTGGTGGAGCTCCCCATGGGGCCACGAAGCGCCGTAGTGGGTGGGCGAAAATGCCAAATTGAGTGTGGGACGCATGCAGGCGGGCCCACTGGGGGGTTCGGTGGAGCTCCGGGCGAGAAGGACAAGGCGGCGAGGAAAGGGACGGATGGAAGGAAAGAGAGAAGATTCTGCTCTCGAGGAACCAGTCGCCTTTTGCGGGCACTCCGCTGCGTTGCACAAAGCCTGCGAAGGTTTTCCGACGGGCGAGAAAAGCGGCCGACGGGGGAGGTCGAGGAGGGAGAAGGAAGGAAAGGGAGGGAGAATAGGACGGAGGAGGAAGCGAAGGAGAAGAGGAGAAGGAGCACAGGAGGAGGGAAGGAAGCAGGGGGAGGGGAGAGTCGTGCCAGGGCGGCAAGGCAAGGGGGAGAGAACGCGGAGGAGGAGAGGCGGGAGGGGGAGAAGATCTGCTTGTTTTCAACGCGTTTGGAAAGCGATCTTCGGCGCCCACGAGGCAAAGACCACAATGAAACTCGATCTTCGGCAGAAAACCTCCGATCATACCTGAGACCAAAAAATGCGATGAAAGGCGGCCTTCGGCGAAAAGCCTCCCGAATCGCCCAAAGAATGATTAAGGAAACGGGGCGATCCGAACATCGATTTGTCGTTTCAATCACGCGTGCGACCTAAGGCGCCAAGCACAAATTACAAGCCAAATCGCCCAAACGATAAGTTATGCGAGTGCGCCTCATTCCCCGCGCGAGCGCTGCAGCCTTGCAAAAAGCTGTAAGGCCATAATGTGTGGCATGTTCATCGCGCCAGCGTCGGGTTTCAGCGCCCGCGATGCCAGCCTCCTGCGCTCGCCGAACCTTCGCTGGCGGCGGACCGCCGTCCGCCCACGTCCCCCAGGGCAAATCGGAAGAAACGTCTCTCGGAAACCCGACCGAAGAAGGGCTCACCAAATACCTCACCAAACACTGCCTCCTGGCATCGTCGGCGCCTCGTTGACGCGGCAACTAATTGCACCTGGCGGGGAGCGTCTCGGGCCACCAATTTAGAAGCTGTCGCTGGTAAGCATTAAATGCGTTGTGCGCCAAGCAATTCCCATGCCTCTAAACATGCGCGCGTAAACCATCTAAACTCAATTCGGCGCCCATCTCTAGCATTGAGTTCTTGAGCTGCTCGCACGGAGGCGGCAGCGCGGACATGGCACATTTGGGCGCCATGACGGGCGACGCACATCCGACCAACAATCACCGGCGCGAGCACGCCTGCGTGCAAACTCGAACAGACTGAGCCTGCATGAGCCAAAGCGGCTACACATGCTTGATGATAACAACACTCACCTCGCCAGCGTTCCACTGTGCCGTGAGCATGACCGGCACGGATAGCAAACTTGCGTACCGATGTGCCCTGAGCGCCACCGTCACGGATACAGGCCGCGCTCAAGGACCACCCCGTGCGCACCCCCTGTGGTGTCGAGAATATGCCATGCCTGCTTTGCCTCGGACGACCGTCACGGACAGCAGCGCCCTGGACGACCGGCACGGATAGCGACCGCGCTCAAGGACCACCCCCTGCGCACCACCCATAGTGTCGGGAAAATGCCACTCCTGCTATGTTCTGGACGACTGGCACGGATAGCGGCCGCGCTCAAGGACCACCTCCTGCGCACCCCCCATGGTGTCAAGGAAAAGCCTCTCCTGCTATGCCCTGGACGACCGGCACGGATGTTGGCCGCGCTCAGGGACCACCTCCTGCGCACCCCTATGGTGTCGAGAAAGTTACCAATCCTGCCATGCCCTGGACGACCAGCACGGATAGCGGCCGCGCTCAGGGACCACCCCGCGCGCACCCCCCATGGTGTCGAAAATGCCACGCCTGCTACGCCCTGGACGACCGGCACGGATAGCGACCGCGCTCAAGGACCACCCCGTGCGCACCGCCCATGGTGTCGAGAAAGTGCCATTCCTGCTATGCCCTATACGACTGGCACGGATAGCGGCCGCGCTCAGGGACCACCCCGTGCGCACCCCCCAAGCGCCACGCCTGCTACGTCCTTGACGACCGGCACGAATAGCGGCCGCGCTCAAGGACCACCTCCTGCGCACCCCCTATGGTGTCGAGAAAATGCCACTCCTGCCATGCCCTGGACGACCGGCACGGATAGCGGCCGCGCTCAGGGACCACCCCGTGCGCACCCCCCATGGTGTCGGAAAAATGCCACGCCTGCTACGCCCTGGACGAACAGCACGGACAGCGGCCACGCTCAGGGACCACCTGGTGCGCACCCCCGACAGTGTCGAACATGCCACGCCTGCTAGGCTTTGCGACAATGTCGTAGACATACGCCGCGTTCAGGGACCACCCCCAACGCACTCCCTCTGGTATCGAGAAAGTGCCATGCCGGCCGTGCCCTGCGCATCCTACACGTGCGATTTGCGTATGGCGTGTGATGTATATGTGTATGATGCGTGTGCGGCCGTATCGGGACGTGTGCCTCATGTGGGTGCCCAGTATGTTGTGCATACGTATTGGGTGTATGATGCTATGAACACGCCAGGTGTGCACTAGCGTTGTATGGTGTATGTTGTGTGTGTGCGAGTGTGTGCATGCGTGCGGCTGCATGTAGACGCGTGTCTGATGCACGTGCAGTGCATGTGTTGCGTGTGGGTGAAGGGAAGAAGGACGCGGAGGAGGAGAAAGGGGGAGGCGGGAGGTGAGGAAGACGCGGGTGCGACGCGGGTGGGAAGAAAAACAGAACCCCACGAAACACCTGGGGAGTTGGGTGTGGGACGCGTGCGGGCGGTCCCACTGGGGGCTTCGGTGGAGCTCCCTATGAGGCCACGAAAGGCTGTACTGGGTGGGTGAAAATGCCACATTGTGTGTTCCGTGATGCATGCGGGCGGTCCCACTTGGGGCTTCGGTGGAGCTCCCTATTATAGGGCCACGAAACGCTGTAGTGGATGGGTGAAAATGCTGAATTGGGTGTTTCGGGACGCATGCGGGCGGTCCCACTGGGGGCTTCGGTGGAGCTCCCGATGGGGCCACGAAACCCTGTACTGGGTGGGCGAAAATGCCAAACTGGGTCTTCTGGGATGCACGCGGAAGGTGGCACTGGGGGCTTCGGTGGAACTCCCTATGGGGCGACGAAACGCTGTACTGGGCGGGTGAAACGCAGGGAGGGAGGAGGAGGGGGGAGGGGAAGGAGGGAGGAAGGAGGAGAACGCGGTGACCCTCTTTTCAAAACGAGAAACCAAAAACACAGGATGGTTGGGAATGGTTTGGCATGCTTCAAGGTCTTCAAACGGGTGTCTTCCAACGAGGCAGTTCCCTCAATGGAAATGAACCGTTATAGGGGCCTATGGAAAGGGAGCTTGGAGGAAGGGTCATTTCCAACATCGTTGATGGCTCTTGGGTTTACACTGGTCCTCCTCCTCCTCCTCCTCCTCCTCCTCCTCCTCCTCCTCCTCCTCCTCCTCCTCCTCCTCCTCCTCCTCCTCCTCCTCCTCCGCTTCATCCTTCTCCAAGAACCGCAAAATTGCCACCAAACGGGAGGCACCCAAAACAGTAGCAATACGCCGTCACAGGAGTCCCGCCGAGCACTTCTGCAGAACGTGACGTCCTCCTCCTTCTGCTCCTCCACCTCCTCATTATCATGCCCCTCCACCTCCTTGTGCTCGCCCCCGGGTCTCCGTCGTCAAAGTGGCCGGGGTGGTCATCAACTCGTAGACGGTGGTGGGTTGCTTCTTCCCTTTCACAGCCACGACGTCCACGGGCCTGAAAGCGAAGTCGAACTTCCTGAATCCCCCCTGGCCTCACCCTCTCCCTCCTCCTCCTCCTCCTCCTCCTCCTCCTCCTCCTCCTCCTCCAGCTCCTCCAGCTCCTCCAGCTCCTCCTCCTCCTCCTCCTCCTCCTCCTCCTCTTCCTGCTCCGCCTCCGCCACCTCCTCCTCCTCCTCATCCTCCTCTTCCGTCGCCATTTTGGCTCAAGAGCATTGTGGCACGGGGTGTCCCCACCACACAGGCATACCGCTACCGCTAGCCCGCGGCAGTCAGGGAGCTTGCTGTCGGCATCCTTATCGTAAGCTCCTGTAGGAGCTGCACTCACGGCCCGACGCATGGCCGCGGAGGCTACATGGTGTGCGGCGCCTGCGGGTACTGGAACTTGAAGCACCACTTTTGGAAGCAGAAAGGCTACCGCAAGTGCGGCGGCTGGGTCGGCCTGCCTGGTCGCAAGCAGCCGCAGCAGCCGTCAGCGCCACCGTGGCAGTCGACGCACGAGCAGATACTCTCGAGCACCCAAAACTTGGTCGGCAATGACACGGCGCGGGGCCAGGCCGTGGATGCAGCGCTCCAGCAGCACGTCGCCAGCCGCCCACCCCCGTCGACGTCTGTCGCCGAACCCCCGTCGCTGGCTGCGGCAAAGCAGCTCAAGGCGACCTCCTCCAAGCAGGAGCAGGTCGGCAAGAAGGTCGAGCGCTGCTGCTGGGAGCTGGCGACAGCGAAACACAGGGTCCAGGAGGTGCAGGCGCGACTTGACGCTCTCACAGAGGAGCACCTCGAGGCGACGACGGAGCACGAGGCGGCGGTTGTGGCGGCGGCTGGGGAGGATGGCCCGTCCGCCCAGGCCCTGCCTGAGCTCCTCGCCTGCAACCTGGACCCGTCCCTCTTCGCCGACATGGAGGAGACCGACGAGGACGACCTCGCTGCTGCGAAAGCGCTCCAATCCGCCAGGTGCGCGTGGCTGGACGAGCACGAGATTGCCTACAACGCGCTGGCGGAGCGGGCCGAGATTCGTGAGAGGGCTCGGCTGTGGGAGGAGGCCAAGGTCATCCAGGCTCAAAAGGAGGCCGCAGCCTGTAATGAATTGCGGCAGCGACCGACGCGAGGGGACGGCGCCTCTCTCCAGGCTGGAGGAAGGCACCCAGGCGCAGCGCAACGACCACGACGTGCACTGCGCGAGGCCCACCAGTGTGGACACCGAGCTGGACGCACGCGCTGGGGGTGCCGTCCGTGCTGCGGCGGCGCGGGAGGACTGCGGGCCTGGCGAAGATTTCTTCGCCGCGGGCGAGGACGTGCTGGGCCTCGCACGGGGTCCCAATCAGCTTCGCCCAACTGTGGTTGGGCTGCGGGCCGCTGGCGCTGGCGCTGGCGCGGGCTGCTGGCGCGGCCTGGTGGGGCCGCAAGAGGCTGCCCCAAGGCGCGGGTCGCGGGCCAGACAATGGGCCGCAGCCTGTGATAAATTGCGACACCGGTCGGCAGGAGTCAGCGCCATCCTACAGCACGTGCGAGGACAAGGGGCATCTGGACGCCAATCCGGCAGCGCGCGAGCTGATGACGTTGGCGGCGAGGAGGCCGCCCAAAGAGCCAGCCTGTGGGGGGCTGCCTGAGTACTTCGCGCCGTCTGAGGCTTGGCGCTCTGCGAGGTCGGCTTCCACCCGCGCCGACGACTGGAACACGGCCATGGGAGGGCCACCCGGCACGCATGGCGAGCGACGATGAGTCCTCCATCAGTGCGAGCTACGCCAATTGGGTCGCCAAGGCCGAGGAGGTGCTCTTGGATGCCAGCAAAGTCCCCGCGGATGGGCGCGGTCGACATCGCGGTCGCGCCGCTGCATACGACTTCCGCCGGCCCCCGCTCAAGCCATCTCCTGGCCGCGCGCATCTGCGACATCAGGCGGCTGGGCACGGGGCGGCGGCCCCAGCAGTGCTGAAGCAGATTGCACGCATCCGTCGGAAGAGCTCGGTCGGCAATGGCCACTCGGAGCGCTGTCTGGAAGCGCTGCTGCGCGAAGCGGCCAACATCACGATGGGCACGGTTGCCAATCCCTCGCGCCGCTGGGCCTGAGGTCCCGCCTGCCTGGGACCCCATGGACAACGGGGCCCTTGAAATCCCCACCGAGGAGCTGGACGCCATGGCGACAGTGACGGAGCGCTTCGCCACCGCCGTGCAGGCGCGCGCCATGGGCCAGCACCGCCGAGAGTTCGCTTCATGGGCGCGCAAGATGTGGAGGGAGAAGCCTGGCGTCCTCCACAAGTGTGCGCGCGACCCTGCGCCCTCGGCGCAGGAGCTGGCGGCGGACGGCGCGCCCGCGACGGTGCCGAGCCAGGTCATGAGCTCATGAGCCAGAAGGCCGCTCGCCAGGGTGCCCTGCGGCGCGCCCCCTCGGACTCCTGGCCCGACCTCGTAGCGGCCTCCAGCATGCCAAGCGTCGGGCCAGGGGGCCCCCGCTGCGCGGCAGCATCGACCTGGCCGCTCGGGCCCAGGGCCCCAGGAGGGCGAGAGGCGCAGACGGCCTCGGCTCGGACGACCTGCAGAGGCTGCCGCCCGAGGGCCGCGAGGAGCTGCGGCCCCTGCTGGCGCGCCGCGAGGAGAAGTGCCGCTGGCCACGGCAGCTGCCGGGGGCCATCGGCGGTGTCATTCCCGAGAGAACAGCAGGCGAGCGCAGCATCGGCCTCCTGCCGCTGGTGCCTGAGATCTGGCCCCGCGCGCGCTCATCTGTCACGTCGGCCCGGGCAGGGGAGCTCGGCGCTTTCTGGGGCACTGCAGTCCGCGGCCCCGGCGCGCCGCGAGCGGCGCCGGCGCGCGGCCTTCCCGGCGAGACGGGCATCGAGGTGGAGGTGGCGACCGCCACCCTCCTGCTGGACGCGGAGACCTACCACGACACGGTGCCCCTGGTCAAGCCGATGGCCCTCGCGGAGCCGCTGCTGCACCCTGCCGCGGCGGTGGTCCTTGAGGCTCAGCGATCCCTGGCTCCGCGCTGTCTGAAGGGTGGCCACCGCGAGCACTCCGCGCAGGCGGAGGCGACCCGCCCCGTCGCGGCGGGGTCGGCGCACGGGGTCCTTCGGCAAGCTTTGCCTCCATCCGCTCTTGCAGCAAGCGCACGCGATGTGCCCGCGCGCTGGCCTCTGGAGCCTCATCGACGACATTGTCATCCGCTGCGAGGGATCGGCAAACTCCGCGGAGATGGAGCTTCCCCGCACGGCCGAGGCGCCCCAGGATGGCATGGACGACCACGAGCTCATCTGCTCGAACAAGACGGCGCCCGCGGCGTCCAACAGCGAGCTGAGAGCCAACCTGTCGAGCAGCCCCGCGGCCATAAACACTCCACACTCGGCTGCGGACGCGGCGGTGGACCTCGGCATCGACACTGCCTCGAGCCGTCGCAGGGCGCGCACCGAGGCGTCGGCCCACATCGCTGCTGGAGCTCGACGTTGGAGGCGCATCATGCGGCTGCGACGGGCCACTGCCAGACCACCGGAATGCCCAAGTCTGCGGGCTACGGGAGCGCTGCCGCAGTCGGTCTACGGCCACCAGGTCAACGGCACACTACCTGGACTGGCACGGCAGCTACGACGACGGGCAGGTCACGCGGTGGGCGGCAATGCCCGCGGACAGTGCTTGACGTCCGTGCTGGCGGCCACGGTTGGGCTGCACGACCCCTACATCGCCCTGCGGGTGCAGCTGGCGGCGTCGTGGCGCAGCCTCTGGTTCTCCGACGTGTCGCTGCATGGCCGCATCAGGCGCGCCTGGCGTGGGGTCCTCGGGGCTCTACGGCGCGCTGGCGAGTGGCGCTGGAGGCGGGTCCGAAGACCATGGGCGCGTTGCAAGCTACGCTGCTGGACATGGGATGGGACCCGCGCACTGCCTCCGCCTGGGCACGTTCGACTGCGGTGGGCGTGGACGAGTGGAGGCTGGCGGGCGCTGACGACGACAGCTTCCACGCATGTGCCGACTTCGGCGGGGTGCATCAGGACGTCGAGGAAGACCTCAGGCGCCAGCTGTGGCAGTCTGCGGCGACGCACCTGCACGCGGACGACCTCGTCGGCGGCGCTGATTTTCTGAGAGGCTCGCCACGCGGAGTGGGGCCTGACCCCCACTGTTGTATTGGGCGGCCAGTGGACGGGATCCCGCCGTGCTGCTGCGGGCTACGTGCTGGAGCATGAGGGCTGCGCGCGGCGCGGCTGCGCTGATGAGACCATAGCACACAGGATATGCCAGCGTCCTGCGAATGTGGGCGAGGAGCTCGAGTCCACAGCTGCCCTAGTGCCTCGGGCGGCGCCCGCTGGATATGAGGCATCGCCCGCCATTCGGTTGCGCGGGGCGCCTGCCTCATGCTCGACCACTCCCTTTATTTGTGACGAGAGGGCGGAGCATGCTGCGGTGTCTTTCGGCTCGGACAGCACCCTGTGGTCGACGAGGCGTGACGACGGCTTCGTGGTGGTCTACGGTGACGGCTCTGGCGGGAAGTACTCTGACGACCCGAGGCGCAGGCGCTGCGCGACCAGCATCGTGGCCATGGGTCAGGACGAAGATGAGCCGTGGGTCGAGCTGCGCTGGTTCCGTGCTGTATCTGTTCCTGGCAGACGGCAAACGGTGCCGCGTGCGGAGATCCTCGGTTTCCTGCTGGCGCTGGAGTCCGTCGGGGGGGACCTGACGTACGTGACTGACCACAAGCCCCTCTAGTGGTGCTGGGAGCGGAGGATGGTTTCCGTGCTGCCCGGCGGCGCCAACGAGGACCGCTGGCAGCGCGCAAGTCAGGCGCGTCGCAGCAGGCCCCCTGGCGTGGTCGAGGTGGTCTGTGTCCCCGCGCACACGGACGAGGTTGAGCACCTGCGGCTGCTCAGGACGGAAGCGGACCTCGAGCGGGCGCTGGGCAATGCCGCCGCTGATGCGCTCACGAGCGCGACGGCGGCGGCCTGCTGGCGGCTGGGGTTTGCGGAGGCTGAGCCGCACACCGACGTGGTCGACCTCCTCCTCCTCCTCCTCCTCCTCCTCCTCCTCCTCCTCCTCCTCCTCCTCCTCCTCCTCCTCCTCCTCCTCCTCCTCCTCCTCCTCCTCCTCCTTTCTCCGGCTGCCGCTCCGGTGCCCGGGGCCACGGCGGCCCGTCCGCTCTGCTGCCGCCGGTCGCATGCGCCGCCTCGTCGCAGGAGCTGCAGCAGGTGGGGTCTGCACAACAGTCGGGGCGTTGACCTAAGGAACCCTAAATAAGGAACGAGGCCCCTCCTCCTCCTCCTCCTCCTCCTCCTCCTCCTCCTCCTCCTCTCCTCCTCCTCTCCTCCTCCTCCTCCTCCTCCTCCTCCTCCCCCTCCTCCTCCTCATCCTCCGCTTCCTCCCCCCACTCCTAGCCCTTTCGATCAGGGTCGGCGGCACCGGCCGTCAGGCCTCTCCAATAAGGAACGAGGCCCCTTTTACCCTCAGGTTCAACCTCGATGTCCCATCGAAAACATAAGGAGAACCTGGGGCGAGCTGCGAAACACTTTTAAGGAACGCGGAGCCCCTCCCCAACGAAAAGGGTTCCTTCTTCAGGGCCCCGACTGCAGTTGCCTGTGCGTGGTCGGCCAGAGCCGGCTGTTCGCTTTCGCGGCCGCCGCATGCACGTGCAGGCCCCCCGCCGTGGGACGGGGGGCGACGGCCGGGGCGGGGCGCCCGTGGCCCGTGCCTGCAGCCCGCGAGGGAGCTGCAAAGGGAGAAAGGGGAGCCCTGGACATCCATCCCTCGCATGTCTGGCATGCTGTCCCCTGTGTTATGCATCACCTGCTGTGCCAGGTGTGGTTTCGATGCCTCGATCGCGAACGGCGGCGGTGCCCGCTCCCCTCGTCGTCCGTGTCGGAGTGCGAATCGAGGTGGCAATGAGAATCTCAGTCGTATTCGGAGGGGCTCGCATCCTCGTCGGGAAGGTCCGCTTCGAGGCACCCTCCGTGTCCAGGAAGCCCTCCCCGCTGCTGCCGCACGCGGCGAGCAGGCGACGGAGGCGGCCGTCGAAGCTCTCGAACCGAGCCCGAGCCTGCACCGGTCCCCACGAGGGCCGCGCAGCTGGGGCGGCGGGAGCGAGGGCCACGTTGGGGCCTCGGTGCCTGCGCGGTGTTCGTTCCCCCCTGTCTGGGGCGCGTGGTCCGATGGGGCCTCTGGCTGAGCTAAACTTTCCTAAACGATCCTCCTCCCCCTCTTCCTCCTCCTCCTCCTCCTCCTCAACCGCCGCCTCCCTCTCCCCCTCATCTTCCTCCTCCCCCTCATCCTCCCCCTCCACTTCCTCCAACTCCGACGATGCCTCCTCCTCCTCCTCCTCTCGCTTGGCACAGCTGTGGCCCTAGGGGAGCGCTGGTAGACACAGCCGCCACGCGGGCGGCGTGGCCAAAGAATGTTCATGGGCTTTCAGGGTAGCCGGCCCTCCGGCTGCGCCCGACTGAAGAGAGCGGGTGACGAGGGATCCACCAACCCCTACTCAGTAGCCCACCGAAGCCAAGGATGGAAGGCGAAGTCGGGGCCAACTCGAAACGCGATGCGCATAGGATGGCCACGCTGACGCCGTGGTAGCAGCCAAACTCGGCATCGGGCGCATCTGTAAAGGCGGCGATGGTGCTCTAACACCGCGGTGGGTGGTGGCTCTACCGAAACAGAACCGCCGCCAGCTCCAGCGGCTGTAATGGGGTCGCGCAGCAAAAACTAGGCCGGTAGTGGGATGCACAAGGACGTACTAATATGACATGTCTTCCTTGGAGGCGTGCGTCTGGCCCGAACATATAGCATGCCCGTCTTGTCGCATCTGGCTTCCCGAGAGGTGTTGGCAGAGAGCGCCCGCCACGACGCATATACTGTAAGATTTGTCGGTGCCCGCGTCGCCCCGGGGGAGGGGTGGAGGGTTTCCCCCGGGGCCGTAGGCGACCCGAGGAGGGGAGGGCGAGGAAGGGGAAGAGGAGGAGGAGGAGGAGGAGGAGGAGGAGGAGGAGGACGGGTCGCCTAAGCCCGTCGGAGAAACCCTCCAGGGGGGGGGGGGGATGCGCACACAGTACTGGTCCGTTGGGCTGACGTCGAAGTAGTGATGCACTGCCTCGGCCACGCCGAGGCGGCCTCACCGCGGGCCGGCTCCCGTCGCCGCCGCGCTTCGTCGAGGTCCCCAGGCCCGTGCGCCGCCTCGTCCTCGGGCGAGCGCTCGACGCCGATCGCAGAGCTCTGCCGACGCACTGTCAGGCCATCGCGCTCAGCGCGACTTTTCCCTTGGGCGGCCAGGCCTTGCATTTACGGCATCGGTACACGCGCGTGGCCACGCACTCAGGGTGCACTTTCTGGGCAGCAGCGAGTTCTGGTGAAAATGCTTCGGCCCGAGTTCTGCCTGGATGTCTCGCACGGCCGCCACCTCCTTCCACTGCTGTGCCCGCGAGGAAGACGTTGACAAGGTCGACAACGGGTCATTGAGGCGACGGTGAGTCCTCGACCATGGAGTCACTCATGCTCGCTAAAGCTCGCCAGCTCCCCAGGAGGCGTCATGCTGATCAAGAGCCGAGGTGCTGGGTACAGAATTTCATTGTCGGGGTACGGCTCCAAGGAGTCTGGCGATTTGATGCATCCTCCTTCTCCTCCACCCCTTCCCCCTCCCCATTCCATCCCCTTCCTCCTCCACCCTGTCCCCCTCCCCCACTCCATCCCCTTCCTCCTCCACCCTTCCCCCTCCCCCACTCCATTCCCTTCCTCCTCCTCCTCCTCCTCCTCCTCCTCCTCCTCCTCCTCCTCCTCCTCCTCCTCCTCCTCCTCCTCCTCCCTCCTCTTCCTCCTCCTCCTCCTCCTCCTCCTCCTCCTCCTGCTCCTCCTCCTCCTCAGCCTCCGCCTCAGATTCCTCCTCCGCCTCCTCCTCCTCCTCCTCCACGTCCTTCCGCGGCGGGAAAGACAAGCGATGTGAGAGAGCGCAGTGGGGTCAGGAGAGAGGGGGAGGGGGAGGGCACATAGACCGGAGATGGCAGATGGGAGCGGGCAGAGAAAAGGGGAGAGCTCTGCCAACCCCCGCTTGCCAGGGGCGAACCGGCGCGTGAGGTGTTTGGCTGTCCCCCGTTCCCCTTTCCGAGCTCCTCGCACCTGGCCTCCAAGGTGCCCAAGATGCCACCGGAGCTGGCTGAAGTTGGGCGCCCACACGCCGAGGAGCGCGCGAGCACGGGCAGGACTGCTGCCCCAGGCGACCCAGAGGAGCCTCCAAGGAGGCCCCAGGAGAGCTCCAAGAGGAGCCCCAGTAGCGCCCCAGGAGACAGAAGCCGCCCCAGCCCCCGAGGAGCACTGCCTTGGCCGTTCGACGTGGCACACGCCGAGCTGCCTCTTGGTCGAGGCCTCCGCCCCAAAAGAGAGCCCCGAGACCGCCAGCGGACGCCCAAGAGCCCCTTCAGGGGAGCACTTTCTCCTTCGCGGCGATCGTGGGCGCTACTGGGGGGGGGGAGGGGGGGGGGGAGGGGGGGGGGGCCGGGGAACGCATACAGAAGGGGCGTTGACCTAAGGAACCCTAAATAAGGAGCGAGGCCTCTTTTTCCCATAAGTTTAACTTCGATTTCCCATCGAAGCCCTGAGCAAAACCAAAGGCGAACGGCAAACTAACCAAGGAACACCGAGCCCCTCCCCAACGAAAAGGGATCCTTCCTCAGTGCCCCGACTGTAGTGGGCGTTATTTTGAGGGATGAAAAAACGACCCTACCCTGGGTTACAAGTGCGTGGTCTGTAAACCTCCTGGGAACCCCCAAAGCCTAGAGCCGCCAGGACGCGGCACATCACGCAGGGTTTACCCTGTCAGCCCACAGGAGTTTCAGCGCACAGCGCCTCGTAAACCAGGGTAGGGGATTTTTTTTTTGCTCTTGATTATTGGGGGGGGGGAGCGGGGGGGGTGGGCGGGGGACGCATAAGGCAAGGCCGCGCCCCCCGCCGTGACGGCCTGCGGTGCCGGACGCTCCGGGACGCGCTGCGGCAGCGCCGGGGGCGCGCGGGGCGGGCGCGGCAGCGCAGGGGACGCGCGGGGCGGGGAGGGGCGTTCACATTATGGGCGGGAGGGGGGGGGGGAGGGGGGGGGGAGGGGAGAGGGGGGGGCGGGGGGGGAGGGAGGGGGAGAGGGGGGGGGCACATCGCGCGCTATGGCCCAGAAGGTGATAAACCGCGCTCCAAGAGGCCCGAAGAAGCCCCCAAGACTCTCGGGGGCTTCTTCGGCGATTTCTGCACCAACGAAAACGAGATCTGCACGCGACGCTCAGGTGCGAGGTCGGAGATCAGTGCCCTCCCACGCAGCAGTATGACAGTACAGTCGGGCCGCTGAAAGAAGGAACGCTAAATCAGGAACGAAGCCCCCTATTGGCCCCGTAAGCGCCTCCGTGTCCCAGGAGGGCAAGAGGAACAGCACTGGAGGAACCTAAGGAACATCGAGCCCCTTCCAAACCCAAACTGCTCCTTATTTCAGCGTCTTGACTGTACTATAACTCAGAGATCATGGAGGCGACCAAACTTTGACCATGCACCCCTTGGCCGAATGGAGCACAATCAGCCGCGAAACGCTGCGCACAACAGGCAGAGCTCAGGCGCCAATTTAGCACCCGAACATTTTTCAAACTTTTTGGTTGGCACGGAATGGATTCGAACTTTTGTTTTCCGAACTTGTTCCAAACTATTTTTCTCGCCGCCAAACTTTAACCGAACTT